ATTTTGTTAAACGTGAATTATCCCTGCTGAAAATCATTCAACAGTTACAACTCAATTAAGTAATACAATAGTTGCATTTTACTTGGAACATTTTGTTCTGTTTGCGTTTTATATTCCTGCGTTGGTAATAAAATAATTTTACGGTTACTATTTTTTAAGCTCCAACCATCAATAACACAATATAACCGTTTATTTTTCTGATAAAAATGTATCATAAAATATAGATGTTGGCCTTTTACTTTATGATTCACATACAAATATAACGTACGGAAAAAAATAAATGTTATTAAAATAAAGTAAAATACTCAAAATATTTACCGGTTGAATTGTTAAGCTTTTTTAGCTTTATCATTTTCACTTCTATTAGAAAATTTATATTTCCAAAAAAATGTCATTCTGACGTGATATTGATTAACCTTTTACCACATGAGCCACATGAGCATATTGTGAAAAATGGCCGTTTTTTTATTGAAAAGCCTCCTATGACCCGTTCAAACTGCTATAAAAATATAAAAATATGCTTCAATACCTATGAAACAAATGTTGACTGAAGCATTACCTCTGTAACAGAATGGTCAATCATAAATTTCCTGTTACCATGGCAACGGGGGGACGTCTCAAATTTACGAAAAATCACTATTTTGCTTTTTTTCATCAAAACTGATTTCAAAGTGCTGCAACTTCTTAATGCATCGAGATAGAGTAAAAGGCTTTTCAGCGTTGGTTATACGTTATCTTAGGATCCACCTGAGGCCTTTTTTAACCTGTCACATGTCCAAAATTTTCTTGGCGGTGAAGGGGACTGCCGCCCCCCTTCAAACCCCAAAAACAAAAGGGGGCATATTCCCCTTCTGGTAACACACTGATGTATCATTTTTATGGGAGGCCGCGCCGAAAAGGTGATCACATTTTTAACAACATTTCTTTAACGAAAAATAGTGTTTGGGGCCTAAATAGGGCTTTTTGTCACTGTTTGATGCCTCAAAAAATGGGGGGGGGACAAAAAGCCGTCAACACGTCTATATGAGGGAAAAGGTTAACTAAGTATTTTTGTATTCTTTATTTCAATGACCAAAATTTTTACGTACACTGCGTACGCATTAGCAAAAAACTATAAAAACATATTACTCGATATGTGTTTTTGAGGAAAGGCGTTGTTTGTTATACTTGAGACTTTTACTTTTTAAACATTTTCCTTAATGTATGGATTTTCAATTGAAGTATTTTATTGAACAGTTGTTTTTCTTGGTAAGACATTTATAACTGAAATTAATGAGTCTCCGTTTGTTTCCTTCGCTTCTGAAGTTCCTACTGTGTAGCTTGCTAATAACAGTCATTTTTGATATCTTTTAAATGGCCAAATTTTACTATAAAAATAGTTAAGAAATTTCAAAGTGTTAATTTCTATCCTTTCATTTAATCAAGTTTATTTATTTCTTATATTTTGTCAGTGTTAAGCCCTGAAAAAGAAAAAAGATCAAAAGAAGAAAAGGATTTAGTACTATCTATCAATTTCACTAATATAGAACAGTTGCCAGATATTTGGACAATGTTCTGGGGAGCAGAAAGAAACAGTTATATGGTCAAGATATCCGCTACATTGTCACAAATATTCGAAGAAACCATTCGTCTTGAAACATATGTGGACAATGATCAATTACAGAGTATTGTATATGAAAGAGGTAACAGTTAGACATTTACTTGTAATTGATAACAAATTATAAGGATGTTATAACGGAAGCGTCCTGGTGCCAATTCATAATGTTCTTTTAAAAAAAACTCCTACGTAGGAGATAAAAATCCCTAATTAGGAGTTTATTACTCATACGTAGGACTGATAGGACTTTATAACTCCTACGTAGGAGTTTATAAGTCCTATTTGGGAGTTTATAAGTCCTACGTAGGACTTTATATCTCCTACGTAGGACTTTATATCTCCTACGTAGGAGTTTTAAAGTCCTATGTAGGAGTTATAAAGTCCTACATAGGACTTACAAAGTCCTATGTAGCAGTTATAAACTCCAAATTAGGCTTTTTTATTTCCTACGTAGGAGTTATAAAATCCCTCGTAGGAGTAACAAAGTCCAACGTAGGACTTATAAAGTCCTACGTAGGAGTTAAAAAAGTCCTACGTACGAGTTATAAAGTAATAAGTCCTTCGTATGATTTATAAACTAATTAGGCTTCTTTTATTTTCTACGTAGGAGTTATAAACTCCTAGTACGTAGGACTTTATAACTCCTAATTAGGCTTTTTATCTCATACGTAGGATTTTATTTTTTATAGAACATTATAAATTTGCACCAGGATGCTTCCGTATGTTATGGAAATAAAGAAAAAAGTGGGAATACAATAAAACAAAAACTGTCCGGTTTGCTTAATATATAGAGCTTTCACCTCTTAATCGGCCGAACATATGTTCGATTCCCGGTCTGTGCTGGTAACTTTCATGAAACCTTTCTACGGTAATATGCACTAGAATTTTGCTCTAGCATGTACAAAGGTTATAAGTCTATGCGAAAGAGAAGGCAATCCTACAAGTAAGCTGCTTGACAATCTGTCCAGGAATAATACAGTGGCTACCTGTACCCTGGTGAATTCTAATAAGCCCAATGCGTGACCCGGATGGTTATTTACCACTACCAAAATACAAAAAGAACAGATGAAAAATCGGCGGCAAACTTTGTTCGTGTAAAAAACTATCAGATTAAAGAGAAATATACCTAATAGCAATGACAACAATTTCGTAAAAACGAAATATAATATAATTAATTTTATTATATACATTAAGTTATGCTAAAACTTTTGCATTGTTTTACTCATTAAATCAGGTAATATTGAAAGCCAACCTGACAAATCAACTGATGATCAGTCATCTGACAAAGAACACAAAAAGCAAATTCAGAGAGATTTGGCTCGTCTGATTCTGATGAAGGTAAACATCATATGGTTACCGTAAACAACTTATTTATAAACAGGGAGATTATAATGCTGACTTGTAATAAAGAAAAGTTTGTGAATATGGTGAGATGTGAACTGCTGGAAAAATATTAATGACCTATGTAAATATGTTTTTTTCCTGTAAACAGCACATCAGATTTACTTTCATATCTGTGTTAGTATACAATTTATAGATATGTATTTTTCATATAGTGCACGTCAATCAACCTTTAACGATGTGTTGAATTCATTTTCGGATAACTTCAAAGTTCATAATTTTACCATTTGCAATTTGCCTACGTCTGGTGTTTGTTTATAAGGATTTTTTGAGTGTTTTGTTTCCTTTTTCATTAAATATCTGTCTAAAACGCTATATCATCAAGTTTAATTCAATACTTACTCGAAATAAATGCATGTTTAGTTCTAACATTAATTGAGAATTACAACAGATCACAATAAATAGTTCGGGAGTCGTTCATGAGTATTACTCATTGGTATATTAATCAAATCTCAAAACATAACAATTTACACACGTATATAACTTTCGAAGACCACATACTGTAATATGATGTGACAGTCATGTAATCGACAGAAATAAAACGTATAAACAGACGGACATACATGTGACTGAATAGGACTCAATGTCATTGCCTTTTTATTGTTGTTGTTGTTGTTGTTGTTGGGTAGGGTGTTAATAGTCCTTTATGCTGTTCTTCAAATTTATTGTTGTTAATGAAGCATGAACAAACGGCGGACGGACAGTTCAATATTAGATACTTATGTATAAAACCGAATAAATTGTACCCATCACATCAAAAATTTACCAAATATATAATATTTTTACGCTCGTACAACAGAGCAATGTGGCTTAATGTTCAATATCTTTTTGTCTTTAGATATCATAATAATGTGGGAATATTTTCAACTTATACTCAACGGGATTACCATGTTTTCAATAATTTAAAGGAACTATGTTTTTTTTCACGATATTTTTGTGTCTAATTCTCATAAAAAAATGATATTAAACAAAATTTCAATATTGATTACCTATAGCTTATCAATCATAATTCCTTCGGAAAATTTAATGTTGTAACGTTTTACTGCAAATAAAGGCAGACATACGTCATACATTAATATTGTCCCCCGCCTTTTCGAAGAAAAAAGGGGGGTATAGAAATAGCCTCCGTCCGTCTCTCCGTCCGTATGTCCGTCCGTCACACTTTCGTGTCCCGTCCATTACTTTGTCATTTATCAAAGAAATTTTAAATACCTTGGCCAACCACTACCTCCAAGATCTAGGTCACACTATGAGGTCAACGTTGACAGAGTCTGTTATATGGTATATTTTGTGTCCCGTCTATAACTTCTTCATAGATCAAGGGATTTTGAAAATACTTGGCATTATGTTCAAAAGGATAAGATAATATGTCATGCGTAACACCTGTGTCCTTACTTCCAAGGTTAAGGTCACCCTTAAAGGTCAACGATTTACATAGTCTGTTATAGGGTATATTTTATGTCCAGTCCATAACATTTTCATAGATCAAGGGATTTTAAAAATACTTGCACGAATTATCACAATAATAAGACGATGTCAGGCGCAAAACATGGATCCCTACCTCCAAGGTCACACTAAGGGGTAAAAGATTAACATAGTCTGTTATAGGGTATATTTTGTGTCCGATCTATAACTTCTTCATAGTTCAAGTGATTTTTAAAAATACTTGGCACAAATAGTTACAATAATAAGACGATATGTCATGCACAACACCTGCATCCCTACCTCAAAGGTCAAGGCCACACTTAGAGGTCAAATCTTAACATGATAGATTTTTAAATTTCGTGTTCCAATATTTTTTTTTAATAAATTTATTGTTGCATTTGCAGATCTAGCATTGATCATAATTTTGTACTGAAAGTCCTGAGATTAACCTCAATATTTTGAAATAGCACAATTTTATGCCTTAACTTTCCTTAGGCGGGGGACGTTGGTAACTCTGTTACAAATTCTTGTTTAAATAAGTCTTGTTTTTCGGGGGTTATTTTTAGATTTACTATCAATGACAGATGTATCAATCGCACAGGACATCAGCAAAAACGAAGAGGTTTATTGGGTAAAATCAGTACTTGCACTGAAGATCACATCACACGAGGCTATGGCATATTTAGCGAGGTCAATTTTCAAACAGTTTTTCAACAGTTTGAATTTTTATGAAAAAATTAACCTTGAAAATTTGCTAGATATCGCTCAAAATAGACACAAAGACTACAAATTAAGGCGAGTGAAAGATCGTCGTGTATGGGTGGTAAACTCACCAGAGTGTAAGTCTTTGTTGGAGAAGCTTGTGTCAGCTCATTGGGATCCAGCATTTGTTGAATGGGACAATATTGGAGATACTAATGTGGAAAGGTACTGGAAGATCGCAAAGTTATACATGCCACACGGAAACAAGGATAGCACTTGTCCAGAGGATACAGACATGATAGCAATATTTCATATGTTGAGAAACTTCAAAGTGAAAGATTTTGCTGAGGAGAGGAAAGAAATAGATGAGGTTTTATTTTTTGTTCTGTATCTGATTATTCCTCTAAATATTTTTTTAAAGTGTCATCTTTTCTTTTTCATATAAAAAAAGGGTTGTTACATTATTCGTTCAGAGTTATTTTAGTTCTCAAGTTATTCAAAATATGGAGATCTTTTAAAGGTCAAAATCTTTTCTTTTTTTGTGATCAAAACATGATCAAACATATTATAATTTATGTTGATTTTTTATCATTTTAAATAATATTTTAAAGTGACATTATGCCAATCCAAAGGTATATAGTGAGTAAACGGGTGAAGATCAAAATAAGTGTTCATTTTGCCATAATTCCTCTTTTAATTTAATAATTAAGTTCAAGTAAACAATAAGTAACGTACCGATCAAAACGAAATTTCTCTTAATATCTATTTACCTAAAACGCTTACTTTATGAAAAGAGTGGGGCAGTCTTTTTATATGTTAGGCAGATTTATAATTTTATCCTTAACATTTTCCAATATCAACTGTTGGTAAAACACCATTTTGACAGCAAATCTTTTGAAATATAAAGTCAATTCAGCTCAACTTGACTATATAAATATGAGCATCATGTCACTTTAAATAAAGGGCTTCAATGAAAATGAATACATTTTGAAAATATTTTACTTTTTATACACATATACTAGTCAAAAACAAAGAACAGTTTCTAAACAGTTGTACTGTAAAATGTTATATAAAACAATCTTGTTTTCATTACAGATGATTTGTCATGTGAACTATTTATTACGTACTCTCGACAACAAAATTTCAGAAACAAAAATGTCTTCAATACTCGAGAATATTTACCAATTCATGAAGAGTACTGAGTTGAGTGAAGGTATCAAATCAAAGACAAAGGATAAACTTCAAAAGGTGTCGATTCATGTTGTTGTTGTTTTAATGTTGTTGTTTTCTTTTTATTAATTTATTTAGATTTTCTAATTCACAAAACGCTCAGAAACGGGCTTAAGCGATCGACAATTGTCCGGCGTCCGCGATTCGTGGTGTGACATTCATAATATTCAACGATATCTTTGTAAAACACCCCCTCCTAACCACGGGGTCTAACTTTACATGAAAGATGTTATTCTACAACAGTGCAATAAATAAATAAATAAATAAATAAATCCATTATAATATATAAATAGATCACAGCATATGACTGTCAACATATGCCCTTTTTAAAGCTATACGCTGAAGGCTTTAGATTTGTTTTGTAGCAGTTCTTAATGAAATTATATTAATTGTTGCCCGTTGTCTAAAATGATCCGTTCCGAAGGTATACTTTTCTTGTCTAGATTTATATTACAGGTGTATTATCAAAATTTTCTTTTCCCAATGAGAGACCTTTACAAAATGATTTAATATTAAGCATAACCTGATAGTTATTAGTTTATCACAAATGTATAAAAGTCATAACTCGGATCAATATCACCCACGTCCTAGCAGGCAATAAAACGTTTTCATTTATGTATAATTTGCCTTTAAAATTATTATGTAGTCCTAAACAGAGGTGCCTCGTAGGGGAGGGGTGTACTCTATACAAATATATGTGTAGGAAACATTAAAAAATATCTAAAAGATAATTAAGTATTACCTGGAACTTAATAAAAATTTCATTCATATCCCCTGTAATGACTACGCGCAGACGAAGTTATATATAATGTTAAGTTTAAAATATAATATATAAGTGGATATTAATGCGTCACAAACATTTTGCGACTGTCAAAAAGAGGACTTTTTGTGTGCGGAAATATTTGCAAAAACATGATTTCTTGAATTTAAAACTGATCTCATTAATAAAGCAGGTTCCTGTAAAGAATATGGCGTTATTATAATAGTTCTATTCAGTTGTTCAATACTTAATTATTTATATAATTGTTTGAAATACACATTGTTACTTTGATCAAGTACATGATCACACATTTCTTTGCATTATTTTGAAACATATTTTGTAACAGTGTTATTAACACAAATATTGTTTCTTGAAAACATTTGTGAACAAACCGCACACCCCCTGAAATGTTCTCATTTTTGTTTTAAAAACTACGTGATGTAGATCACAGGTAAGTGATATCTTAGAAAGTTTCAATTAAAAACAATTGTTTTTTAACATCTCATCAGGAAAAAGACCGGAAAATCATAGACGAAATTCTATTAATCTGGCAATTTGCCATTTTCAAGGTATTCAATTATGGGCGTACATGGCATCACAGAAGTTGTCGGAAGTAAAGAAATATCATAAAACCGTTAGATTATTTCTTCTTATGTTCTCTTTTATATGGTTTGAATAAAATAACTTAAATATGATATTTGTCAGGTTCAACTCATATCGAATTGCGACGAATGGTACAAGAAAATTCTACCTAAACAAAAAGCAGGTCTTGCACTTGAACGGGACAGAAATAATCAATTCTTGAACATCACGGAAAAGCTACTTGTCGAATTTTCAAAAGAAATAAGATATACAATGGAACCAGCATATTACAAACCTTTGTCGGATAAAATAAAAGACGCAACAGCAGGAAGGGATATTGGAACAACAGGAGGAGCGGGTAGTTTATTATATGGTTCGACATTAGATGCGACTGCTGGTGAAACATCGTATCTTTGGAAAAGTATGTGTGATGTTCCATTTTAACAAATTTTTGTTATTGTGACAATTTATAAGAATGTCGTGAAAGTTAAAAAATACAAATACTGCCCATTTAATTCAATAGGTAGAGCATTGGACTGTGAATCGGGCGGCTCGGGTTTTATTCCCGGACGGTGCGACTCATTTATTGTAATGATTTGTCATGTAACCCATTCTCCGGTCCTTGGCACTGTACATTTGCCCTGGCATGTATAGAAGTCTTTCCATTGCAAAAGAGAATACTCTTGTACTTGTTAACTGCTTTGCAGTCTGTCCATAAACAATACGGTGGCTAAACTGTGTTCTCCGGAGAGTAAGATACCACCACTACTGCCACAAAATATAACAGTTATAAAAGGAAAATCGGCTCCTACGTAAAACTCGTAAAACTGATAAAAGTTAATGAACATGATAGCAATCTGTCAAAAAACAATTTCTTAAAAACGTTACTGCTTTGATATGCTTTAACTTTTTTCATTGTTTGTCATTAAATTAGAAAGAACAGTAAACCCGCCTAGCCAATCATCTGACCAAGAACACAAAAAGTCGACGCAGAGAAGGTACCGTTCGCCCTATAATGATAAAGGTATACATTATATTAACAAGCCAAACAACATATTATTAAAATAAACATTTTTTTACATAAGTTGACATGGACAATAATGAGAGAATATTGTTGACTAATATAGATTTGTTTTACTTTGGCTTGTGAATTAGATTTGCATGTACTTCAAATACGTAATTATAAAAAAGTAAATTCTAAATTCCGACATCAGAACGCTTCTCTTCGAAATTTCTCACAACTGACGTTCGATGAGGTAGTAGTCAGATAATTTCTAACATAAATGAAAAAAGCTCCTGACGGGATTCGGATCCACAGCAGAGTAGGGCAAGTGGTTTGAAGTCCATGACCATTACCACTCGAGAAAACCATGGACGCCCCAACTGTAATCAACTACTTTTGCAATGCCAAATTATATACAAACGTGCTTTATTAAATGATGCATGCTTTTCATTTCCTTGTCTGTTTCTATTATTACCTATCATGTATAATTAAAGTACTTTATCCAGTTCATGCTTTGCCCTGTGCCTGTTTATGTTTGGAGTCCTGCTAGTTCTGTGTTGCTGGGTCATGTAAGGGTCGCGTTCATGGAGCATATTTCCTACATGCATGGATGAATTGTAAGCCGTTTCGCGCGCATAAACAAGGTCTCGAGGTCAAATGTCAAGGTCTCACTTAGATGTCATTGTAAAAAGCCTGTCCGGAACAAAACATCTACATGTATAGAGGGATTTCAGATTTAGGTTTATATATGCAAGGTCAGGGTTACTAGAACTGATAGGCGAGGTCACTAAAGATGATAAAATTTAGAGATTTTGTTCAGAGCATATCGCCGAAGGGATTCTAATGACACTTCACACACTACAAAAAGAAGAGTCATGCGCATGAACTAGGTCTCTAGATTAAAGGTCAAGGTCACACTCAGAGCTCATTAAAACATTTGTCCTAAGCAAAACTTCTACATGCATAGAGGGATTTTATTATACCTTCGCACAAATGTTTACCCTTGTAAGGCGAGGTGTCGCGTGCAAAATTACGGTGCCTGCATCCACGTTCAATGTCAAACAGGGGTCAAATATCGAATAAAAATATGAAAGCGTGTATTCGAACCATTTTTCTCATCATTTATTGATTGGTGAGAACACAAATGGTAATAATCATGACTACTAGTGTAAACCATGTAATTTAGGTAAATATATTCAAAGTCAGTGTCACTTGAAGGAATCTTCTAGGTCACTAAAGATGCTAAAAAATATAGAGATTTTGTCCAGAGCATATTTTCGACACATATGGAGGGATTCTAAAGAAACTTCAAACAAATGTTCACCACTTTAAGAAGCAGTGTCATGCACATGAACTAGGTATTCAGGTTTAAGGTCAAAGTCACACTTAGAGGTCATTGAAAAACGCTTGCCGGAGCAAAATTTCTTTATGCATAAAGGGATTTTATTATAACTTCGCACAAATGTTTGTCATTGTAAGGGGAGGCGTTGCATGCCGAATTCAAGTCCCTTCGGCCAAGGTCAATGTAGAAGTTCAAATAAAAGTATGATAATGTGTATTTGGACCATTTTGTCATTTATTGAGGGATTGAAACACAAATGGTCATTGTCATAACTATTGGTGCAAAACATGTAATAAAGGTTAATATAGGCAAAGTCTAGGTCACTAGAGATGATAAGATATCCAGATATTTACTGGAAATGCCCATAGCATATCACCTTTATGCATATCTATAATACCTACATCTCTAAGAAAAGCTTTTGTGATTGGCGTATTTTGCAACAATGTCTTGTTGTCTGAAGATACCATAGTAATCTGGAAATATCTATTACGTATTCTTAGTGCAATTACAATAATGGTTTTGATAATGAAAAGAAACTGTGAATTGTTTTAGAAGTTTTTTTTATATAAAGTATCATACATTCTAATACAAGCTTGTATTTTCTTTCATTCTCATAATCTATTTTTACATATTTTGCTCTTATAAAAAGGAAGAGTTTGTATTATTCAAGATCGAGATCTAATTATCATTACTATACGAAAATATTTTGTCAAAACGTTATGTTTTTTAATTATATACATAAAGTTATGCTATAACTTTTATCCTTGTTTAACTCATTAAATCAGGTTACATTGAAAGCCAACCTGACAAATCAACTGATGATCAATCACCTGACAAAGAACACAAAAAAACAATTCAGAGAAAGTTAAGTTCGTCTGATTCTGTTGGAGGTAAACATTATCTTCTTTTTGAATAGGATGTGATGTGACTGTCCAGAGCATATCTCCTACATATATGGAATGATTCTAATGAAAATTCATACAAATGTTCACCACTATAATAAGTAGTGCCATGAACATGAACCAGGTCTCAAAGTTAAAGGCCAAGGTCACACTTAGAGGTCATTGGAAAATCTTGTCCTGAGCAAAACTTCTACATGCATAAAGGAAATTTATTATTATAGCAAAAATATTTGCCATTGAAAGGGGAGGCGTCGCGTGCCAAATTTAGGTACTTGCAGCCAAGGTCAAGGTCAAAGTTCAAATAAAAGTATGAAAATGTGTATTTGGACCATTTTGAGATCATTTATTGAGGGATTTAAGCACAAATGGTCATTATCATAACTTTTGGTGCAAAACATTTTATTTAGGTTAACATATGCAAAGTCAAGGTCACTAGAGATGACAAATTATCCAGATATGTTGTGGAAAATGCCCATAGCATATCTCCTCTGTGCATATCTATAATGCCTACATCTCTGTCAAAAACTTTTTTGACGGGCGTATTTTGCAACAATGTTGCCCTTGTTGTCTGATGATATCATAGTAATCTGGAAATATCTGTAACGTATTCTAAGTGCAATTACCATAATGCTTTTGATAATGAAAAGAAACTGTCAATTGTATCAGAAAACTATTGTTATATAGAGTATCATACATTTTATTACAAGCTTGTATTTTTTCTCATTCTAATAATCTATTTCTACCCATTTTGCTTTTATTAAAAAGAGTAGTTTGTATTATTCAAGATCGAGGTCTAAGTACCATTACAATACGCAAAAATTTCGTCAAAACGTTTTTTTTTCTTATTATACACATTAAGTTATGCTATAACTTTTATCATTGTTTAACTCATTAAATCAGGTAAAATTGAAAGCCAACCTAGCCTATCAGATCTTGAAATTGAACGATACTTTAACATCAGGGAAAAGCTACTTGTCGACTTATCAAAAGAAACAAGATTTACCATGAAACCAGCATACAACAAACCTTTGTCGGATAAAACTAAAGACGCAACAGCAGGAAGAGATATTGGAACAATAGGAGAACCGGGTAGTTTATTATATGGTTCGACATTAGGTGCGACTACTGGTCGAACATCGTATCGTCGGAAAAGTATGAGTAATGTTCCATTTGGACATAATTTTGTTATTGTAACAATTTATAAGAATGTCGTCAAAGTTACAAAAATACAAATACTGCCCATTTAATTCAATAGGTAGAGCATTGGACTGTCAATGAGCGGCCCGGGTTTTATTCCACAAAAATATGAAAAAGTTATAAATAGAAAATCGGCCCCTACGTAAAACTCGTAAAACTGATAAAAGTTAATGTACATGATAACAATCTGTCAAAAACAATTTAGTAAAAACGTAACTGCTTTGATAATTATGCTATAACTTTTTTCATTGTTTGTCATTAAATTAGAAAGAACAGTAAACCCGCCTAGCCAATCATCTGACCAAGAACACAAAAAGTCGACGCAGAGAAGGTTCCCTTCGCCCTATTATGATGAAGGTATACATTATATTAACAAGCCAAACAACATATTATTAAAATAAACATTTTTTTACATAAGTTGACATTGACAATAATGAGAGAATATTGTTGACTAATATAGATTTGTTTTACTTTGGCTTGTGAATTAGATTTGCATGTACTTCAAATACGTAATTATAAAAAAGTAAATTCTAAATTCCGACATCAGAACGCTTCTCTTCGAAATTTCTCACAACTGACGTTCGATGAGGTAGTAGTCAGATAATTTTCTAACATAAATGAAAAAAGCCCCTGACGGGATTCGGATCCACAGCAGAGTAGGGCAAGTGGTTTGAAGTCCATGACCATTACCACTCGAGAAAACCATGGACGCCCCGACTGTAATCAACTACTTTTGCAATGCCAAATTATATACAAACGTGCTTTATTTAATGATGCATGCTTTTCATTTCCTTGTCTGTTTCTATTATAACCTATCATGTATCATTAAAGTACTTTATCCAGTTCATGCTTTGCCCTGTGCCTGTTTATGTTTGGAGTCCTGCTAGTTCTGTGTTGCTGGGTCATGTAAGGGTCGCGTTCATTGAACGCAGCTCTTCCATGATGATCTTGTTTTTCATTTTTTACAATATCTTTACAACAGAACAAAAAAGTGTAATGTTCAAGTCATTTATATACGCCCGTTTGAAAATCCGATCGAATATAAGTTTTCCCCCTGATGGGCGGCCGGTCGGTCAGGTGGGCGTCCGGGCGGACAGGCTGCTAGGCTGTTAGGCAGGGTGGATGGGGACCAATTTCTGTCAGGAGCATATTTCCTACATGCATGGAGGAATTGTAAGCCGTGTCGCGCGCATAAAGAAGGTCTCGAGGTCAAATGTCAAGGTCTCATTTAGATGTCATTGTAAAAAGCCTGTCCGGAACTAAACATCTACATGTATAGAGGGATTTCAGATTTAGGTTTACATATGCAAGGTCAGATTTACTAGAACTGATAGGCGAGGTCACTAAAGATGATAAAATTTAGAGATTTTGTTCAGAGCATATCGCCTACATATGAAGGGATTCTAATGACACTTCACACACTACAAAAATAAGAGTCATGCGCATGAACTAGGTCTCTAGATTAAAGGTCAAGGTCACACTCAGAGCTCAGTAAAACATTTGTCCTAAGCAAAACTTCTACATGCATAGAGGGATTTTATTATACCTTCGCACAAATGTTTACCCTTGTAAGGCGAGGTGTCGCGTGCAAAATTACGGTGCCTGCATCCACGTGCAATGTCAAACAGGGGTCAAATTTCGAATAAAAATATGAAAGCGTGTATTCGGACCATTTTACTCATCATTTATTGATTGATGAGAACACAAATGGTAATAATCATGACTACTAGTGTAAACCATGCAATTTAGGTAATATGTTCAAAGTCAGTGTCACTTGAAGGAATCTTCTAGGTCACTAAAGATGATAAAAAATATAGAGATTTTGTCCAGAGCATATTTCCGACACATATGGAGGGATTCTAATGAAACTTCAAACAAATGTTCACCACTTTAAGAAGCAGTGTCATGCACATGAACTAGGTATCCAGGTTTAAGGTCAAGGTCACACTTAGAGGTCATTGAAAAACGCTTGCCGGAGCAAAATTTCTATATGCATAAAGGGATTTTATTATAACTTCGCACAAATGTTTGTCATTGTAAGGGGAGGCGTTGCATGCCAAATTCAGGTCACTGCGGCCAAGGTCAATGTCGAAGTTCAAATAAAAGTATGAAAATGTGTATTTGGACAATTTTGTCATTTATTGAGGGATTGAAACACAAATGGTCATTATCATAGCTATTGGTGCATAACATGTAATTAAGGTTAATATAGGCAAAGTCTAGGTCACTAGAGATGATAAGATATCCAGATATTTTCTGGAAATGCCCATAGCACATCTCCTTTATGCATATCTATAATACCTACATCTCTAACAAAAGCTTTTGTGATGGGCGTATTTTACGACAATGTTGCCCTTGTTGTCTGAAGATACCATGGTAATCTGGAAATATCTATTACGTATTCTTAGTGCAATTACCATAATGCTTTTGATAATGAAAAGAAACTGTGAATTGTTTTAGAAGTTTTTTTTATATAAAGTATCATACATTCTAATACAAGCTTGTATTTTCTTTCATTCTCATAATCTATTTCTACCTATTTTGCTCTTATGAAAAGGAAGAGTTGGTATTATTCAAGATCGAGATCTAATTATCATTAATATACTCAAATATTTTGTCAAAACGTTATGTTTTTTAATTATATACATAAAGTTATGCTATAACTTTTATCATTGTTTAACTCATTAAATCAGGTTACATTGAAAGCCAACCTGACAAATCAACTGATGATCAATCACCTAACAAAGAACACAAAAAGAAAATTCAGAGAAAGTTAAGTTCGACTGATTCTGTTGGAGGTAAACATTATCTTCTTTTTGAATAGGATGTGATGTGACTGTCCAGAGCATATCTCCTACATATATGGAGTGATTCTAATCAAAATTCATGCAAATGTCACCACTATAATAAGTAGTGTCATGAACATGAACCAGGTCTCAAAGTTAAAGGCCAAGGTCACACTAAGAGGTCATTGGAAAATCTTGTCCGGAGCAAAATTTCTACATGCATAAAGGGATTTTATTATTATAGCAAAAATATTTGCCATTGAAAGGGGAGGCGTCGCGTGCCAAATTAGGGTCCTTGCAGCCAAGGTCAAGGTCAAAGGTCAAATAAAAGTATGAAAATGTGTATTTGGACCATTTTGTGATCATTTATTGAGGAATTTAAGCACAAATGGTCATTATCATAACTTTTGGTGCAAAACATTTTATTTAGGTGAAAATATCCAAAGTCAAGGTCACTAGAGCTGACAAGTTATCCAGATATGTTCTGGAAAATGCCCATAGCATATCTCCTCTGTGCATATCTATAATGCCTACATCTCTGTCAAAAGCTTTTGTGACGGGCGTATTTTGCGACAATGTTGCCCTTGTTGTCTGAAGATATCATAGTAATCTGGAAATATCTATAACGTATTCTAAGTGCAATTTCCATAATGCTTTTGATAGTGAAAAGAAACTGTGAATTGTATCAGAAAACTATTTTGATATAGAGTATCATACATTTTATTACAAGCTTGTATTGTTTCTCATTCTTATAATCTATTTCTACCCATTTTGCTCTTATGAAAAAGAGGAGTTTGTATTATTCAAGATTGAGGTCTAAGTACCATTACCATACGCCAAAATTTCGTCAACACGTTTTTTTTTCTTATTATACACATTAAGTTATGCTATAACTTTTATCATTTTTTAACTCATTAAATCAGGTAACATTGAAAGCCAACCTGGCAAATCAGATTTTGCACTTTTACGGGACAGACGTTATCAATCCTTGGGCATCATGGAAAAGCTACGTGTCAAATTTTCAAACGAAACAAGATATACCATGAAACCAGCATATAATGAACATTTGTCGGATAAAATTAAAGACGCAACAGCAGGAAGGGATATTGGAGCAATAGGAGGACCGTTTAGTTTATTCGATGGTTCGACATTAGGTGCTACTGCTGGTCGAACATCGTTTCGTTGGAAAAGTATGACTGATGTTCCATTTGGACATATATTTGTTATTGTAACAATTTATAAGATTGTCGTCAAAGTTAAAAAAATACAAATACTGCCCATTTAATTCAATAGGTAGAGCATTGGACTGTGAATCGGGCGGCCCGGGTTTTATTCCACAAAAATATGAAAAAGTTATAAAAGGAAAATCGGCTCCTACGTAAAACTCGTAAAATTGATAAAAGTTAATGTACATGATTGCAATGTCAAAAAGAAAATAATTTCGTAAAAAACGGAACAGCTTTGATATGCTATAACTTTTTTCATTGTTTGTCATTAAATTAGAAAGTACAGTAAACCCGCCCAGCCAATCATCTGACGAAGAACACAAAAAGTCGACGCAGAGAAGGTTCCGTTCGCCCTATTATGATGAAGGTATACATTATAAGCCAAACAACATATTATTAAAATAAAGATTATTTTACATAAGTTGACATTGACAATAATGAGAAAATATGGTTGACTAATATATATTTGTTTTACTTTAGCTTGTGAATTAGATGTGCATGTACTTCAAATACGTAATTATAAAAAATTAAATTCTAAATTCCGACATCAGAACGCTTCTCTTCAAAATTTCTCACAACTGACGTTCGATGAGGTAGTAGTCAGATAATTTTCTAACATAAATGAAAAAAGCCCCTGACGGGATTCGGATCAACAGCGGAGTAGGGCAAGTGGTTTGAAGACCATGACCATTACCACTCGAGAAAACCATGGACACGCTGCTAGGCTGCTAGGCTTTGCGGACGGGTACCATTTTCTGTCCGGAGCATATTTTCTACATGCATGGAGGAATTGTAAAGTTGTGTCGCGCGCATAAACAAGGTCTCGAGGTCAAATGTCAAGGTCTCATTTAAATGTCATTGTAAAACGCTTGTCCGGAACAAAACATCTACACGCATAGAGGGATTTCAGATTAAGGTTTATATATGCAAGGTCAGGGTTACTAGAACTGATAGGCGAGGTCACTAAAGATGATAAAATGTAGAGATTTTGTTCAGAGCATATTGAAGGGATTCTAATGACACTTCACACATTACACAAAGAAGAGTCATGCGCATGAACTAGGTCTCAAGATTAAAGGTCAAGGTCACACTTAGAGCACATAAAAACATTTGTCCGAAGCAAAACTTCTATATGCATAGAGGGATTTTATTATACCTTCGCACAAATGTTTACCCTTGTAAGGCGAGGTGTCGCGTGCAAAATTAAGGACTCTGCATCCGCGTTCAAGGTCACACAGGGGTCAAATTTCGAATACAAATATGAAAGCGTGTATTCGGACCATTTTACTTATCATTTATTGATTGATGAGAACACAAATGGAAATATTCATGACGACCATGTAATTTAGGTAAATATATTAAAAGTCAATGTCACTTGAAGTAATCTTCTAGGTCACTAAAGATGATGAAAAATATAGAGATTTTGTCCAGAGCATATTTCCGACACATATGGAGGGATTCTAAGAAACTTCATACAAATGTTCACCACTTTAAGAAGCAGTGTCATACACATGAACTAGGTATCCAGGTTTAAGGTCAAGGTCACACTTAGAGGTCATTGAAAAACGCTTGTCCGGTGCAAAATTTCTACATACATAAAAGGCATTTTATTATAACTTCGCACACATGTTTGCCATTGTAAGGAAAGACGTCGTGTGCCAAATGTAGGTCCCTGCGGCCAAGGTCAAGGTCAAAGTTAAAAAAGATGTAAATGTGTATTTGGAACAGTTTGTCATCATTTATTCAGGGATTGAAACACAAATGGTCATTATCATAACTATTGGTGTAACTATTGGTGCGAATCATGTTTTTTACGTTAATATATTAGGCAAAGTCAAGGTCACTAGAGATTATAATATATCTAGATATTTTCTGGAAAATGCCAATCGCATATCTCCTTTATGCATATCTTAAATGCCTACATCTCTGTCAAAAGCTTTTGTGACGGGCGCATTTTGCGACAATGTTGCCCTTGTTTCTGAAAAAAGCATAGTAATCTGGAAATATATATAACGTTTTCTAAGTGCAATTATCATTATGCTTTTTATTATGTAAAGAAACTGTGAATTGTATTAGAGTATTTTTTATATATAAAGTATCATACATTCTATTATAAGCTTGTATTTTCTTTCAATCTTATAATCAATTTCTACCTATTTTGCTCTTATGAGAAGGATGAGTTTGTATAATTCAAAATCGAGGTGTAATTATCATTACAATGCGCAAAAATTTCGTCAAAACGTATTGTTTGTTTTATTATATACATAAAGTTATGCTATAACTTTTATCATTGTTTAACACATTAAATCAGGTTACATTGAAAGCCAACCTGACAAATCAACTGATGATCAATCATCTGACAAAGAACACAAAAAGAAAATTCAGAGAAAGTTTAGTTTGCCTGATTATGTTGGAGGTAAACATTATCTTTACAATCTAAACATCATATTGTTAAATAAACATTATAATGTTACATTGAAAGTCATATTGGTGACTTATAAAGAACCTTTTTTGAAAAGGATGTGATGTGATTGTCCAGAGCATATCTCCTACACGTATGGAGTGATTCTAATGAAAATTCATACAAATGTTTACCTCTATTAGAAGCAGTGTCATGAACATGAACTAGGTCTCCAAGTTAAAGGTCAAGGTCATTCTTAGAAGTCATTAAAAAACGCTTGTCCGGAGCAAAATGTCTACATGCATAAAGGGATTTTATTATTACTTCGCACAAATGTTTGCCATTAAAAGGGGAGGCGTCGTATGCCAAATGTAGGTCCCTGTGGCCAAGGTCAAGGCCAAAGTTCAAATAAAAGTATGAAAATGTGTATTTGGACCAATTTGTCCTCATTCATTGAGGGATTGAAACACAAATGGTCATTATCATAACTACTATTGGTGCAAAACATATTAGTTAGGTTAACATATGCAAAGTCAAGGTCACTAGAGATGACAAGTTATCTAGATATTTTCTGAAAAATGCCCATAGCATATCTCCTTAATGCATATCTATAATACCTACATCTCTGTCAAAAGCTTTTGTGACGGGCGTATATTGCGACAATGTTGCCCTTGTTGTCTGAAGATATCATAGTAATCTGGATATATCTTTAACGTATTCTAAGTGCAATTACCATAATGTTTTTGATAATGAAAAGAAACTGTGAATTGTATCAGAAAATTCTTTTTAGATAGAGTATCATACATTTTATTACATGCTTGTATTTGTCTCTCATTCTTATATTCAATTTCTACATATTTTGCTCTTATGAGAAGCAGGAGTTTGTATTATTCAAGACCGAGGTCTAATTATCATTACAATGCGCAAACATTTCGTCAAAACGTAGTGTTTGTTTTATTATATACATAAAGTTATGCTATAACTTTTATCATTGTTTAACTCATTAAATCAGGTAACATTGAGATCCAACCTGACAAATCAACTGATGATCAATCATCTGACAAAGAACACATAAAGAAAATTCAGAGAAAGTTTAGTTTGCCTGATTCTGTTGGAGGTAAACATTATCTTTACAATCTAAACATCATATTGTTAAAAAAACATTATAATGTTACATTATAAGTCATATTGGTGACTTATAAAGAACTTTTTTTGAAAAGGATGTGATGTGATTGTCCAGAGAATATCTACCACACATATGGAGTGATTCTCATGCAAATTCATACAAATTATCACCTCTATTAGAAGCAGTGTCATGAACATGAACCAGGTCTCCAAGTTAAAGGTCAAGGTCACACTTAGAGGTCATTAAAAAAACGCTTGTCTGGAGCAAAATTTCTACATGCATAAAGGGATTTTATTATTACTTCGCAAAAATGTTTGCCATTGTAAGGGGAGGCGTCGTGTGCCAAATGTAGGTCCCTGTGGCCACGGTCAAGGTCAAAGTTCAAATACAAGTATGAAAATGTGTATTTGGACCATTTTGTCATCATTCATTGAGGGATTGAAACACAAATGGTCATTATCATAACTATTGGTGCGAAACATGTTATTTAGGTTAACATATGCAAAGTCATGGTCATTAGAGATGACAAGTTATCCAGATATTTTCTTGAAAATGCCCATAGCATATCTCCTTTATTGGCGTCCGCGCCCAAGCGCGGCGCCTCTTATGGAATGAAATCAGATTTTGTGAAAGGGCGACAGCAACTTCTCTAGCCTTTTAGTCGGTCATAATAAATAGAGGATATTTGTTTAGTTCAGTGTAAGATCGGAATATATTTCACCGAGTGAGCACCAAAAGGTATATTTCACGAGTGACGAAGCCACGAGTGAAATATTAACTTTTGGTTCTCAATGTGAAATATATTTTGATCTTACACTAAACTTAACAAATTTTCTTTTTATTATATGCAAATAAACGTTTTAAAAAGACATTAAATCTAATACTGAATGAAAAGCGCGGCAAATAATAATACAACGTGACGTCATTTACGACGTCACCTCATTAAGTTGGTACCCAGTACTGTGCACGCTGGTATTTCACTGAAACAACGTAAGGGGCTTAAATTCAAAACAGTGAACTTATCAAAGTGGTAATTTGATTGTTTCAAAAAGTGAAATTACCACTTTGATATCACCGATATATTTCTATAAACCACCGAAAAGCATGTAATAAAAGCCGATCCTTCCGATCGGTATGAGGGTGCTTGATTATTAATTAAAAAGGAAATGTCGCGATATGTACAATGAATAGCGAACTGGAGAATTTCGCAATGCAAATATTTTCAAATTAAATAACCTTTTCCGTCAATAAATCGCGCTCTTCGGGGTTTTTTTATTTATCATTTTGTAGTACACATTGGGTTATTATGGTACATGTATCCACGGATTTTACATGTAATATAAATCCGTGATGTATCCGAAAGCTGTAAATAGAATGATGAGTTGATGACCTAAATATTCCGAAAATCTATTTATAGAGGGATGTACTCCTATCGGTAATTCCCGGTCTCTCCCGGTCTATTTTGTCCGGGATTTACTAGTGACCGGCGAATAGTACCACACGTTTATTGTCCGGTCTCTCCCGGTTTTGGAGTAGATGTTTGATATCGTTACAGAAAAGAACAAATATTTTAATATGATAAATAAGCTTTTTTCCCAAAATGAATGTTAGTCACTTAGTTTGGTTACAATTATTAATAAACACAGATCAACTCTCAAATTTATTGATTATTATTATACATAAACATACAATTCGAGAAAAAAACAACAACAACATCAATAGTATGTTTCATTTTATCTATATGAGATAAAAACAATAAATATGTACAATAATTGAGAAAAAGGGTACATTTTTATGGTATTAATATGACACTATCAACTTTGAAACATTTTATTTAATTTGTTATTCGAGTTTAGTAAAGATGCCGAGGAATTATTCAAAGTTACAAATTAGATTTTATGAATTATTCAATTGATTGATAATTTAAAAAATGATAAAGAAAGATACAAATGTACATGTACATGGTTTGAGAATAAACAATATTATATATTGAAAGATTAACCATAATTTACTGAATTTTTCCAGTTAAGTTTTGACTTATAATCGTCGGTCAATATGACAATTGAACTCTTCTTAAGGTTTATTTTACAATTTTAATAAAAAAAAGAGTAGTAAACATAAAAACTCAAAACACAAAAAAGAAAAGAAAACGATATTGATAAAATCTGTCATTTTTATTAAAATTAATAGATATTACAATTATTGTATCATAAACAATTATGCTCAACATGATCAACATGGTAATATAACCAGTGTCATATTGTGAGCAGATACCTTAAGGGGATCTTCGCTAATAGCGATAACATAATAAGGGACAATTACACAAGTGTGGTGTTGATCATGCGTTACACATATGGATTATGAATGATTGTATACATGTATATCCGTTGCTATTAATAACCACGATCATAAAGAAATAACAAGTAATATTCTAATCTCTAGCATGCCAATCAAAGTTCATAATGAACAATGTATTTCGTTCGCTCACTCATAAGTGATATACAATTCTGGTAAAAACCATTGAAAAAATTATAAGAATATCTTGTCATCATATGTCTACTAGTTCATCTTCACTTGATGCATTGCTTGCTTGGACGCCCTTTGATGCTTTGCATCAATGCTTTTCTTGTGCATATCTATAATGCCTACATCTCTGTCAAAAGCTTTTGTGACGGGCGTTTTTTGCGACAATGTTGCCCGTGTTGTCTGAAGATATCATAGTAATCTGGAAATATCTATAACGTATTCTAAGTGCAAAATTTACCATAATGCTTTTCATAATGAAAAGAAACTGTGAATTGTATCAGAAAATTCTTTTTTTAAATAGAGTATCATACATTCTATTATAAGCTTGTATTTTTCTCTAATTCTTATAATCAATTTCTACCTATTTTGCTCTTATGAGAAGGAGGGGTTTGTATTATTCAAAATCGAGGTCTAATTATCATTACAATGCGCAAAAATTTCGTCAAAATGTAATGTTTGTTTTATTATATACATAAAGATATGCTATAACTTTTATCATTGTTTAACTCATTAAATCAGGTTACATTGAGATCCAACCAGACAAATCAACTGATGATCAATCATCTGACAAAGAATACAAAAAGAAAATTCAGAGAAAGTTAAGTTTGCCTGATTATGTTGGAGGTAAACATTATCTTTACAATCTAAAATTGTTAAATAAACATTTTAATGTTACATTAAAAGTCATATTGGTGACTTATAAAGAACCTTTTTTGAATAGGATGTGATTGCCCAGAGCATATCTCCTATACATATGGAATGATTCTAATGAAAATTCATACAAATGTTCACCTCTATAAGAAGCAGTGTCATAAACATGAACTAGGTCTCCAAGTTAAAGGTCAATGTCACACTAAGAGGTCATTTCAAAAAGCTTGTCTAGAGCAAAACTTCTACATGCATAAAGGGATTTTATTATTACTTCGCACAAATGTTTGCCATTGTAAGGGGAGGCGTCGTGTGCCAAATGTAGGTCCCTGTAATCATGGTCAAGGTTAAAGTTCAAATACAAGACTAGTATGAAAATGTGTATTTGGACCATTTTGTCCTCATTCATTGAGGGATTGAAACACAAATGGTCATTATCATAACTATTGGTGCGAAACATGTTATTTAGGTTAGCATTTGCAAAGTCAAGGTCACTAGAGATGACAAGTTATCCAGATATGTTCTAGAAAATACCCATAGCATATCTCCTTTATGCATATCTATAATGCCTACATCTCTGTCAAAAGCTTTTGTGACGAGCGTATTTTGCGACAATGTTGCCCTTGTTGTCTGAAGATACCAAAGTAACCTGGAAATATCTATTACGTATTCTAAGTGCAAAATTTTCAATAATGCTTTTGATAATGAAAATAAACTGTGAATTGTATCAGAAAATTCTTTTTTAGGTAGAGTATCATACATTATATTACAAACTTGTATTTTTCTCTCATTCTTATAATCTATTTCTATCCATTTTGCTGTTATGAAAAAGAGGAGTTTGTATTATTCAAGGTCGAGATAAAATTACCATTACTATGCGCAAACATTTCGTCAAAACGTAATGTTTTTTTTAATTATATACATAAAGTTATGCTATAACTTTTATCATTGTTTGACTCATTAAATCAGGTTACATTGAAAGCCAACCTTACAAATCAACTGATGATCAATCGCCTGACAAAGAACACAAAAAGAAAATTCAGAGAAAGTTTAGTTCGTCTGATTCTGTTGGAGGTAAACATTATCTTTACAATCTAAGCACCATATTATTAGATAAACATTATAATGTTACAGTAAAAGTCATATTGATGAACATGAACAGACTCAATCAAACCGAGCCTGCAACATTTTCAATTTTGTCAAGTTGGGTCCTCATCTGGGATTCTGTATTTCTCTATTTCATTGTCACATCCGTGTTATTTGTGCCGTGTGGCGGCTGTAACAAGTCTCCCCGTACATTTAATCAATGATGTTGTATTTTCGATGCTTTTGTATATTATGGAATTTCAAAGCGTTAATAATAAGGAAAACATAATAACAATTTATATACACATAGAAGTTATAAAGTCGTACGTAGTAGTTACAAAGTCCTACGTAGGAGTTATAAAGTCCTACGTAGGAGTTATAAAGTCCTACGTAGGAGTTTAAAAGTCCTAATTAGGCTTTTATATCTCCTACGTAGGAGCTATAAACTCCTAATTAAGGTTTTTTTATCTCCTACATAGGAGTTTATTTTTTATAAAACATTATGAATTTGCACCAGGACGCTTCCGTATGTTATAGAAATTAAGAAAAAAGGGGGAATACAATAATACAAATAATGTCCGGTTCGCTCAATATTAAGATATGTAAGAGCGTTAGGACTCTTAATCTGGCGATAATGTGTTCGATTCCCGGTCCCAGCTGGTAACTTGTATGAAATCCTTTCTACGGTAATATGCACTGGAATTTTGCTCTAGCATGTACAAATGTTATCATTTCCTTGCGAAAGAGAAGGCAATCCTACAAGTAAGCTGCTTGACAGCCTGTCCAGGAATAATGCAGTCACTGTGGCTAACTGTACCCTGGTGAATTCTAATTAGCCCACTGCGTGACCCGGATGGTTATTTACCACCACAAAAATACAAAAGGAACAAGCAAACTTTGTTCATGTAAAAAAATATCAGTTTAAAGAGGAAATGTACATAATAGCAGTGACAACAATTTCGTGAAAACTCAATATAATTACTTTTATTTTATGCATTAAGTTAATATTCTAAACCTTTTTCATTGTTTAATCATTCAACCAGGTTATATTGGAAGCCAACCTGACAAATCAACTGATGATCAATCATCTGATAAAGAACACAAAAAGCAAATTCAGAGAAAGTTTAGTTTGTCTGATTCTGTTGAAGGTATATATTATCTTTATAGTCCAAACATCATATTGTTACCATAAACAATTTATTTATAAACAGGGTGATATTATTGCTGACGTTTTGTCATTTTTTGTCGTTTTTTTTTTTGGTGAGATGTGAACTGCTGGAAAAAATATTAATGATTTATGTCAATATAATTGTTTCAGTAAACAGCACATCAGATTTTACTTTCATATCTGTGTTAGGATACAATTTATAGATATTTTTCATATATTGCACGTCAATCAACCTTTAACGATATGATTTCAGTTTGTGTTGAATTCGTTTTCGGATAATTTCAAAGTTCATAATTTACCATTTGCAATGTGTCTACGTTTGATGTTTGTAAAGTGTTTTTTTTTTTTGTTGTGTTTCCTTTTTCATTAACTATCCGTCTAAAACGCTACATCCTCCAGTTTAATTATATACATACTCGAAATAAATGCATGTATAAATTTAGTTCTAACATTAATTGAGAATTACATTAGATCACAATAAATAGTTCACGAGTCTTTCATTAGTACTCCTCATTGGTATAATCAAATTTCAAAACAGAATAACAATTTATACACGTATATAACTTTCGAAGACCACATACTGTAAGATGATGTGACAGTCATGTAATCGACAGAAATAAACCGTATAAACAGACGGACATACATGTGACTGAATAGGACATTGCCTTTGTTGTTGTTGTTAAAAAGTGGGTAAATAGTCTGTTGTGCTGTTCTTCATTGAATCAATCGAATTTACTGTTGTTCATGTTACATGAGTAAACAAAGGGATAGTTTAATATAAAAATACTTATGGATAAAACCGAACACATCAAAACTATACTAAATATATAATATATTTACAACAGAGCAATGTAGCTGAATGTTCAAGTCTTTTTGTCTTAAGATATGATAGTAATCTTAAAATAATTTTAACGTATCTAAATAGGATTACTATAACGTTTTAAGTAATTTAAAGGAACTATGTTTTTCTTAGCTTAACGATATATTTTTGTGTCTAATTAGCTTCTCTTAAATACAGTGATATTATTTATATAAACAAAATTTCAATATTGCTTACATTTTGTCAGGAGAATGACTGACTTCATGTTATTTAAGCTAAGGAAAGATTAAGTAATAAAAACTAGAACCAATTTTCAAGTTATGGGACTGAACAGCACCGCCTGACTTAAAATTGAAATATTCTCAGTTGTAATAAATTATTGTTTAGTTAATACTATTTTTTTACATATTTTTTATCTTTTTCTATCTCAAATCCATATATACATTTAAACAACAAACTCTGATTATTATTTGCACAATTTTGATCATTATTTACACCCAGAGGCTCGCATTATTTGATTTTATTCAACTTGTTCAATAAATTTATTATTAAATCTACACTCATTCAACAACCTCTATTTATACGAAACAATACTAGACATTCGGCGAGCCCAAGCTCTAAAGAACTTATGATCAAACAAAACAATAAAATCACTACAAAAATGAAGAACACAAACTGAATTTTCTTTTACAACTCTAAGATACAGTATACACCACAAACATTCAACCAGCAATATTAGCTTCCCAACATCTAATCAGAAAAGCGAACTAATGGACCCAATATTTACAGATATCCTCAAAAACAAAGCATCAAATAATATAACCTTGACAAGACAAAATGACTTTAAACATTCAACCAATATCAACCAAATATATCTAACCAAACATAATATATAACTCAAAAACCAAATAAACTACAACAATCAAAACAACTAATAACAACCAATGAACCAATTAAAGTCATCACAATTAAATTCAACCAACTTCAACAAATCAACAAAACTCCCTTTAAAACAACAAATTCTCTTCTCAACCAAAAAATAAAAAATAAACGCTACATAACAAAAATTCGAATATTTGATACTTGACATTTACATGTAGATAAATTTTATACGCACAGCAACTGGTTTAAACATGATATTTATATTACGCCGCTGTATCGTTGAAGAGAAAAATTAACCCGATGTAAAAAAGAATATCTACAGTGATACTGTACAATTATTCTGACACCTATAGGATAATCAATCATAATTTCTTTGAAAAAAATTAATATTGTGATGTTTTTATGCAAATAAAGGCAGACATACGACATACGTAATTGACATAAGCCTTGTTCTTTTAGATAAACTACATGTACCAAAACTACCATTGAAAGCTTTATCAGACGTGCGTGGCAACAGTGAAGAAGAGTTTAATTGGGGAAGAAAGAAAAATGAAAAATGCATAATTTGTTGAGAAGAGGATAGAAATATATCAGGTTTTATTATTTTTTATGGTTTATCTATTTCTTCTCAGTCTCTAATATTGAAAAAGTACCATTTTTATATTTCATTTTAGAGCATTGTTACATAATTTTTCCTGAGATAATTTTTTTAGTAATTCAAAGTATGGATCCGATATCTTTCAAAGGTAAAAATACTATGTTTGTGATCAAAACTTATTTGGTTTTAAGTTTTGAGTTAAGTTCATAAATAAAATTTTATAATATTTTAAATAAGATGTTTGTTTGAAAAGCAATGCGTTTGGAAAAATATTTTACATTAAACACAGCTGGGAAATAGTTGTACAGTAAACTGAATTATATGCAATGTATATTACTGTCTAGTTTGAATGAAAGATGATTCGTCACAGCAAGTATTAAATACTTCATTCTCACGACAACAGAATTTCGGAAAAGAAAATGACTGAAATACTCGAGAATATTAATAAATTCACGGAGAGTACTGGGTTGAGTAACGATATCAAATCAAAGACATAGGATAGACTTAAAAAATACCGATCCATGGTACTTTTTCTCTCTTTTTTGTGTGTGTGTCTTGTATTGTTTTCGTTTTTTTTTTTTTTTTTTTTTTTTTTTTTTTTTTTTTTTTTTTTTTTTTTTGTTTCCTTAAAAAATCTGGAAGTTTTGGTTCACAAAATGCTAATTACCATGCATAAGGATCGCAAAATTTCCGGCTTCCACCATTTGTGGTGCCTCGTACGTTATTGTCAACGATATCTTTAAATAATTTCCCCTCCTTATCGCAGTGTATATCTAGAACCTAATTTACATTTACTTATAATAAAAACTGATTTTCAAGTCGAAGAATTTATATTACATGTACAAAGTGATTTGGTAATAAGCATAACTTTAAAGTTCTTATTTCTCTAAAATATTAAATAATCATGCCACAGATCAATATCAGCCATGCCCTTAGTAGCATTAATTTTAACGAAAACGTGTTTTTTTATAATTCCTAGAACTAATATATTTTGGAAGAATCATTTTTAGTAGACGTTTACAAATTTGCAGGTATTTAAAGCATGTCCCTACAGTTAAAAATGTCCAAAATCTAACTTGATCATTGATGTGTACAGAAAACTGCATGTATACTGTATTCCTAGAAACTTTTGCGGAAACAATATTTCGCATTTTTCATGGGGATTGCTTTTTCGCGGAAACAAACTTTCGCGAAAACATATTGACCGCGAATTTCGCAAATATAAAGTCGCTGCTGGAGTAGACAATTTTTATGTAAGATATAAGACACCATTCTGACCATATTCTCTGCGACCAGAAACACGAAAATGCATTTATTTTGCATTTAATATCATAATGTCGGGTTAAGAAATAGAGTGATTTATGATTGATCTTACTTTCTGAAAAAAAATTCATTGTTTGAATGAAATGAATTTTTACCGTTAACAGTAAATGCTTATCCATATAGAAATAAATTGTACTTGTAACAGACAATAACACCTTTCTTTTTAGCAAGTTAAGTACCGTCATTTAAAGTATGCACACTGTAAATAACATGTAATGTATGATTTTATTTAATTGGTATAAAATGGATATTCCAAACAGCAAGACCGTTTTGTAAAGGGGAAATTTTACCTTGAATTGTGTATGTAAGGAAAGTTATGCATACTTCATCATAGAACTTCATAATGATATTAGATAATATAAGTTGTTGAAGCTACAAATGTTTGTGAATTTGTTACATGCATCTTTTTCGCGGATACAAACAATCGCGAAAAAATATCCACCGCGAAAAGCGTGGAATAATATCTCGGAATACAGTATATCAAAATTCTAATATTTTTTTCCTATAAAAAGGCTTGAAGTTCTAAAACTTTAAGCCCGGTTTGTCTCAGTCTGTAAATGAGGTATAATGGAACAGTTCAACATCTCTCACCTAAACCTTTCGTTAGACCTATGTCGTGTAGACATGGTCCCTGTTATAACCAATTAAAAACAAATGTTTTGATAAACATTTTAAATATATGTTCAGAACATCAAATATGTATACGCTTTTTTAAGGTAATCATTGTGTGCACAAATTGCATCAATTAAGCTTTACAAGTAAATGAAATATATGTATACTGAAACAAAAAAGAAACTTTCTCCAAGTTTGAATGTAGATATGTTAGTACGATTTTTACGTTGAATAAACATATGGGGCTTTTATACGGAGATTAGCTGACCGATTTTGCAAACAAAACAAGTTTTACAAGCTACTACATGCATATAAGTGTGTACATCTAAGTGGTACCCTTGAACAACTGGCATATACTTAGCGAAAGTTTCTTTTTTGGTTCAGTATATCATCAAAGGGTGCAATTCTTTCTACTTTTGGTCTGTTTTATATCGTTTAAATAAAATAACGCAGATATGATTTTTTTAGGTTCAACTCATATCGGATATCGGCACATGGTATTCATACAAGAGAGTCCTACCGGAACAAAGAACAGGGCTTGCAGTTGAACTAAACAGAACTAACGAATTCTTGAACGCCACTTAAAGTCTACTATCGGTATTTGAAAAACAAAATAGAACTGAAAATATAATAGAAATGGAACGAGCACATGATGATGACCCTATGATGGAGTATAGAATAGTATTTTAAGCAGCGGCTTTGGAAGCAACATGGATGATCTTGAAATTTTTGTTTGACTAAACAATAATTATTGCGAAACCCAGTATTTAATACTTATAATTGTTAATTAGAATTTACAAAACTGACGTAACAATAATGCTTAACAGTTTAAAGCGTCTATCCAACACATTGTAGTTCGGGTGCTTTTTTGTTTTTTGTTGTTGTTGTTTTTTTTTGTTTATTTTTTTTTTTTTAATGTTATCAAACAATAAAATTTCACCACAGGCTCGAATATTTATATAGAACTAGATGATTCATAAATGTCTAGTCCGATGGAAGAAGCATCGAAGTAAAGGCTTTGCAAAGTTTATCTTGCTGTGATTTTAAACCGTTGCATCGTTTTATTTTGTTAATATTGACTTAAATTACATGTATAAACACACCCGTAAATAGGTTGCAAGTAGATCCGTTGGATTCAGGTAGAACAGTTCTGCGCTTGGTAAGTTTTTGTCATCCTCCAATCGACTGCTGCACAATATATCTTAGAAAATTATGCCAAAAAAAAGACAAAAATGGAAGAGCATATCTTGGTATTCCTGTCTTTAAGTGAGACGTCGTTAACATCTGTGATATTAGGGGTGTTCATATGTGTGACAGGTGAAACATAACGACTGTTATGTGAAAACTGCATGTTTTACTTCTTTGCAAATTTAATAACTGTAAACGATGTTGATGATTTAGACCTATGTTGTGTGAGAGAGAAGCTTTCATATGTGTTTTAAGTCTCAAATGTTTCTCACTTTTTGGTTTTCCAACTTTACCGAAAAGTAGTATTCTTTTCTAGAAACTGTCTTCTTTTCTTTTAGACACTTTATGTATAAAATAATCAGTAAACGGCAAGCTTTGTCGACAAACAGGCTTTTAATAGCGTTTCGAAATAGTTGATTAATATCAAAATGTTGATATGAATGTAATATTCGGCAATATTGACCTGAGACATGTGAATATTCAATGACCTTTTGTCCATAATTGTCAGATTCCGAAGTTATTCTGACGGATTTTAAATTATGGTATAACGGTATATATGGTTTATGTATAACATAAGTTACCGACACAACACTTGACTAACTGGCCTCGGTGATAAGACGTTAAGAGTTTCTTGTTTAAATTAAAGGATGTAGGTTTAAATCTAAATGGAATATCATTTCAATAGGGGTTTTAATATTTTTTGCGAAACTTTTTTGAATGCCAATCACCCATACACTGTACATATGTACAAATTGAAAGTTACATTTTTTTTAGTTTTTAAAAAGAAAAAAACACAAGATATTAAAGAAATGATGAATCCACTGATACTGCATATTATTTAAAAATTAAAGAAACATGAAAGAAACATATTTTGTTGAGGTTACAAACTTGCAACTTCGCGTTTGCTATCACTAGGCCAAAGGGACGTCAGTATACCATGAAGTATCGAAAACATTTCTATCATTACAAATCAATAAGTAAATCGTAATAAATTACGGAAACTAGCGAAAATGCTTCCGGAAAGTCTCATATCAATATTGCCGAACAATAATGTAACCATTTTTATTAAAGACATTTTAAAGCTGCATTGTGTGTGAAAATATACTTTACTTAATACTAGATTCCCGTTGCAATGTACTTCAAATTTCTTTTGTTTCATTGGACAATTTAGACAATTTTACACTGCACTTGTACCTGTAATACCTTTTCAGCTTTTTATCATTGACAAAACTATATTGCTTTCATTGTCACAAAATACGTTTTGAAAAATCAAATAATGGTTGTCAGCAATAATAAATGTTTTAAATGGAAATATAGATATATTATTATTATTGTATATTTTGAATATTATTTAAAAGAATGTTGAAACGGACAGACAATTAATACCAAACATATATAAAGACAACCCCTCAGCTACAATAGCATTTTTAGCAGTGATTGTTCATATCACAATAATTTAGCAATTTTTGCAGCATTATTGAGAAAATATTGTAAAAAATGTATACATGTATGAATGGAGAAAAGTGGACAAGTTATATTTCTCTGTGTGTGTAAATAACAGTAATAACAAGATGGCTACGATGGCCCTTTTTATCGCTCAGCTGATTATTAGGACTCTTTATAACAACTATTATTGTTCATTATAAATGAAAAGCAGATAATATTAAACTGATAACGTAAAATTCATACATGTATCTGGAATATTGCATATTTTTATTAAGTAATCAAGGTTTTTCCATATTCGAGCTGTGTCACCTAGTTTTTGTGTCGCCTCTACGGAGTGGCGACATATAGGGATCACTTCTCCGTCGTCTGTCTGTCCGTCTGTCCGTCTGTCTGTCCGTCTGTCTGTCCGTCCGTCACAAAACTTGTCCGGACTACTCCTCATAAACTACTGGTGCAATTTCATCCAAACTTTACAGGAATGATCAGTACCAAGTCTAGTTGTGCATATTGTCAGCATTTTCCGGTTCAATGATTTTTGTCAGAGTTATTGCCCTTTAATAATTTTTAATTTTAAAGTTTATCCGGACTAGTTCTCTTATACCACTAATGCAATTTCAATGAAACTTTACAGGATTAATCTGTAGCTCAAGTCCTTGCGCATATTGTACGGGTTTTCCGGTTGAATGATTTTGGCCGAGTAATGGCCCTTTGATAAAAAGGTGTTTTTTTCTGTGTGTTGCCAGATACACAAAAGCTTGTCCGGACTACTCCTCATAAACAACTGGTGCAATTTCATCCAAACTTTACAGGAATGATCAGTACCAAGTCTAGTTGTGCATATTGTCAGCATTTTCCGGTTCAATGATTTTTGTCAGAGTTATGGCCCTTTAATAATTTTTATTTTTAAAGTTTGTCCGGACTAGTTCTCTTATACCACTAATGCAATTTCAATGAAACTTTACAGGATTGATCTGTAGCTCAAGTCCTTGCGCATATTGCACGGGTTTTCAGGTTGAATGATTTTTGGCCGAGTTATGGCCCTTTGATAAAAAGGTGTTTTTTTCTGTGTGTTGCCAGATACGCAAAAGCTTGTCCGGACTACTCCTCATAAACTACTTGTGCAATTTTATCCAAACTTTACAGGATCAGTACCAAGTGTAGTTGTGTACTGTCCGCCTGTCTGTCCGTCTGTCACAAAATTTGTCCCAACATGAAATTGGCCATTATGAGGCGACACGTGTGATTACTGATCGCTCTTGTTTACCAAAGTTGACACATATTCAAACTGGATATAGAAATCAATAAAATAAACTTGTTGACAAATTTCCATGGTATTTGGGCTTAAATTGTTACATTGACAGAGTGAACAAGGTTGTTCGTACTCTGTGCCTTAGCTTTGACCCGAAAATATTCAAATTGAGCTAAAAATCAACATTACAATAATTCTGGCAAATTTCAAGAATATTATGTAAAAATCATGTAAATAGCTGTTCTGACAAATTTACAGGATATTTGGACAGAACAAGTAGCCACTTGAGTGTTAACAAGATTTACTACTTTGGTCTTTGAGACTCAGTTATCAATCCGACATGACCTATGTTAGACATCGTGCATGCAAATCTCTGTTCAATACAACAATATTTCTTTATTTAGCCAAGCTTACATATTTTGTAACAACAGACAATTTACAAATTATATCAGTATTCAACAATTTGTGAATACTAAATAATGCAAAATATATGTAATTGATTTGTTTGTTTGTTTCATTTGACGCCTTTTTCCAACAGTACGTATTTCAGTCATATAGGCGAGTAGTTTCCTAACCATTGTTCCTGGAGAGTTACACCAGTACTAGACTACCTTCCTCCGCGCTAAACTACCAAAGCATCTCCCGGGGATCGAACCCACGCCCGATAGGTAACTGATTAGAAGTTATCGACTCTAACACCTCGACCACGGAGGCGGTTATCGTGCATGCAAACAATTACTGGGACAAACATACTGACAAAAAATGTTGGACTAGATGGAAACGGACAGATCCAACAATACTAAAGTATCACCCTGAGCCATTAAAATATAGTAGACAACTAACTCAATTCTTTTCCTTTGTTTTTTCTTTCCTTGAAAGTATTGATTGATTAAATATATTTATAAGAAATACAATATTCTATCAAAAAGGCATTCGGTAAATGAAATTTGATAAAATATAGGTAAGTTCTATTAAGAAGTCAGCTATAAGGCCATCATTCTAAATGCAATGGTTGTTTTTAGACGCAGTCTTCAGAGTTAAAGTATAATTAAAAACATTTATAGTATTTCACCAACTTGTGATAGTAAACAAAAAATAAAGTTTGCCTTAAACGAATATTTTATTAAGTGTTGAACACAATATTTGTTCCCTGGAGGTACATGTATTACATAAAATTTATCTAGAATGGTATTTTGAACGACGTCCTGACGGTACTTCATCACTTATGTACAAAGATAGTACTCGCGCACTCTTAACAACACGCACATAGGATTGATTTCGCAAGCAAGTGTGCATTAAGCGTTCAAAACGTGTCGCCGGTAAGGAAGGAGCAAATATAACATTTTATTGATGCATAAAATATAACTCTTCTAGACATGACAAAGGGCGGCAATTCTTTACCAAAAATACACTATACTTCGCGCGTAACGTACTGCACTGTATTTAGAGCTTTTACATTGTCTATAAAGTCACACTGTAGCAATTTCATCTAAAAAGTCGCATAAATATGACTTGCAAGCTGAAGAATTAATAATAGTCATTCTTTAAAATCTAGGCATCCATCAAGCATTAGCCTGAAGTTAATTAAATTTGCCATTGCTTAATAGTTTTAAATATTCTTAAATTCCACGTGTAACGTTTAATGACTTTCAAGTCAATTTCAAATTTAGCACATTTGCATTTATTTATTTATTTTTAAAATATTTATCGCGTTCTGGTTAAGACTTGTATTGAATCATTTGTTAGTCAGTCAATCTCAAACAGAAGCATATAGTCTTGCTTTTGTACAACAAAGCCTCGCTCCCTACCATTAGCCTAAAGAAGCCGATATATTTCTGAACTGCATTTATTGGATAGTATTTAGGAAGTTGATTATGTTTAATAGAAACTTCCTTTCAAAACTACTATTATTTTCATTTAAAATTTCAATAGAAATCGTTCATAACTACTATAATTATACAATCACAAAAGTGATTCTGCAGGTGAGCAATCTGAACCCGCTAGCGAGTTTAAGGCGTATGTTTCAGTGACATATAGACATACTATAGCAGAATGAAAACTGTATAAAAGAATCAACAAAAGCATTGCATGGTTTTAGAATATGATAACAAAAACGATTGGAGGTAATAACAATTTGCCAACCTTGTTTTCGTGTTCATCGGAATGAAAGCACCCATTATCACAAAATGCGCTATGTCAGATTCAGTAAAATCAATTTTCAAGCAGTCTTAAGTCATGTTAACTTTGTCTGGAAAAGTGAACATCTACTTTTGCTTCAATTGACAAAACATCCTTCAAGACTCAATGAAGTTATCTAGGGAAAACGGTCAGATTTAATGAAAATAAAAATCACTGCAGATTTTATTGCGTTAAAAACCCCGAAAAAAAAGCCTATCAACGTGAGTTGTATCAGCGTAACTGTGTTATTTGGGGCTATCAACGCATGATTTATTGTGTTAAGAACCACCCAAAAGGCTTTTTACCTTGGGTTTTGTCAGCTTCACCTTGTTTCCTGAGGCTTTTACCGTCCGTTTTTCTTTCGTTAGGAATCCCAAAAAGGCCTATCACCTCTGGTTGCTTTGCTTAATTGTATTCAATCACCGCCGGTTTGATGGCAAAAGAAACCACAAAAATGTCTATCACCATGGGTTGTGTAAGCTTGACTGTGTTCCATGAGGCAAACACCGCCTCTTTTATTGAGTTAAGATCCCCTTAAAGGCCTATCACGTTGAGTTGTGATAGCAGATCAACTGTACCCTGAGGCTATCACCAACGGATTTATTTTGTTAAAAACCCCAAATATATCTTTCACCACGAGTTGTGTCAGAATGATTGTTATCAATTAGTCTAGTAACGCCGGTTTTATTCCGCTAGGAGTCCAATCACTTTGGGTTGTGTCATCTTGACTGTATTTCTGAGGGTATCACCCACGGCCGATCTTATTGCTTTGAGAACCGCAAAGGCCTATCACCTTTAGATGTATCATCTTGACTGCGTTACCTTAGGCGATCGCCGTCACTTTTAAACAAGAACCT